CGTGGTGCACCCTGGGCAACGTATACTCATACGGCAAAAAAGTCTATTAACCGGCAGTTGACTTCTGACTTCAAACTACCTCCACTGTATGCCATATTCGGCCCATTTCGGAGTACTCATCTTACCTTTTCTCTCCTCTTTTGTCTGTCTCTGTCACATCTGTGAATCATTATTCTGTCCCCCCTCTCGACTTTTTGTCACTTTGATGTTCCTCCTCCTCTCTGTGAAGCCTGAAGTCAACTAAATGGCTAATGATAACTATCAAAACGCCTGCCATTTGAAATAAATAAATATTAGAGAAATTTAATCAAAATAACACTCTCTATAACGAGCGTAGAGTAGACTAATAAAATAGAGACTTAAGTATTCTTCTAAAAGCATATCTCACGCATTTAAACAAGACTACTCAATTGAAGTGCTAAAAGGGGAAATTAGATAGGTGTGGAAAGAGAAATTGTCGTCGCCCCGCCCACTTTTGGAGAGAGCCAAGCTTCAAGGCAGCTACTTACTGAGATTTGCGACTTTTAGAGAGGCCAAGTAAAGTCATAAAATAAATTCGCTAATAATAATGGCTTAAGGGTCACCAATAAAAACCACGGGAGTTTATTACGGCTATTGCGCAACAAAATTCCTACTGATACACACCAGAAAGAAAGGAGAAAGAACCTGTAATGCACAAAAGTTGCATTTGGAAGAAACCAAAAAGCTGAATCAGAGTTCGACTTTCTACTTGTAATTCATCAGCCTCGAAAAAATCACAAAGCATTTAAAGTGAGCTGATGTGTAAATGAAAAACAAAAGAATGGCTCACTTCAGTGTAAAAGAAATGATGATAATCAAATTACACTTAACAACATAAATAGGGATAATCTACAACAAAAAGTGACTTACAAAGAATCGGACATGCGCATCAACTGAATGAATATCCATCACCAAACCTTGATCATAAGCACAGGTAACGTGAAATCGTCCCCGACATCCATTTATACAGCATTTGATGGTGATACCCTGAGGAATTCTGCACAAATCACATAACGAAACACGCGATTCCAACGGAATCGCATTTCGTCCAGTAATCAACTCCATATTCACCGGATCTTCAAACATAATGGCTGGGATCCAGAGAGCACAGCTTACGTGGGCCCAATCTGTCGAGTCCCTTAGTGAAACAGAAAAATTAAAATAAAGGCAAGAATTACTTAAATGGCTTCATGGCGCCACCTCTAAAAGGACAGAGATCACATTTGATGTTTAAATCGAGTCCGAACTCACAACGCTTACAAAACCAGTGATCTTCTGGAATTTTCCGAATACCATAGCACAGCTGATGAACACCGATGTTGCATTTATCACAAAAAACGATTTCATTACCATCCTCACTTGACAGCTGAAAGCGATTTATCAGCGGGAAAATACAATAGACCTACATCTCGGCACACATCGCATCTCGATTCGTCACTGATACCATTCGCCAATGCTTCAGAAAGCATTTTAACATAACAAATCTGTTCGGCAGCCTCGATCACATCTTCAAGCATCCACTCTGACAGTTTCTCCTCCCCATTCTTCACTCGTTTTTCATTTGCAACTGACATCCACGCGCAATCGAGATTGTCAATATTATAAACAGGCGGGGGAACAACGCCCTTCTTCGAAATATGATGCAGTTGGGCATTATAAAAAGCATCTCTAGAAGATCGCACGAGTTTTTCAGGTCTAGAAATAAAACTTGTTAGCTATTTCACTTACAAAGGTACCAAATTATTCTTCCTTTTAACCACTGGTAGATGAGCTTTTCTGAAAAAATGATTAGAATGCACAAAGAAACCAACTTTGGAGCTGGGTCTGTTAGAGGAAGATTTCCTGAAACAATTTGAATACCATCTTGTATGTATTTAGGTCGCATAACACTTGTAATTTTAATTAGCTTTCCCTCTGCAATGAGTTTCGGGTCACAATCCATCATTAAGGAGAGAGGCCGCCGATCGACAGTCTAAAACGTCATAAATAGATGAAGATTAAGCACCTCAGTCTTCGAAGAATTAAAGTGAGTTTGCTCTTTCTTCACTGCCGTCGAAAGCAGAGAATGAACTTCCTCCATTCTGAATGTACATGAAATAAAATAATAACGCACACCAAGTCGGAAACAGTAACAAATATAGACCCATCAAATTGACCGCCTAAGCAGGCATATATTTCAACACAAATGGTAACTTTTATTAATTATGCGCTATGCATTAATATCTCTTTTAACCAAATTACTTATATTTCTATAGAAATAAATATGATTTTCCACTTTAAAATATCTAAATAATGTTGCTCAACAAATCCAACTATTTATATACTGCCTTCACTGGCTCTGTACGGAATTTCACACAATTATAAGACTTTGTTATTTACTCGTTTTTAGCCTGCTGTGCATGTGATGAGCATTTTGAGCAACATCTCCTTTTTAAAAAATAATAACGTTATCCACTTGTCGAATATATTTTACAAATAAGAATTATTCAAGGAATTTGATTCTTCACATTCATTGCAATTATATATGATTGCCACCAAAAATAGCAATTTGTTGGAACCTGAATTGTATGTATTGTCTACAACCTTTTCAAAATTCAAAAAAATTTAGTGAAAACGAAATCTTAATAAACGTTAGCCTGAATAATTCATTGAGCATGTTTTCAGTATTAGAGATGAAAAGAAGTGTTAATTGAGTTCTGTCAAGATTAATGTTGCAAGTAAAGCTCCTCTGTTAAAATTTACTGATGACAATGATTGAGATCGGTTAATATCAAGGGTAAACTTGTGTTTCTCGATAGTGTTTAAAAAAATTCGTTCTGAAAAATGACGTGTCGTCAAACAATGAAGTATCGTGATTGTAAATTCGTTTTTGGTACGAATCATAAGTTCAGTTACTTTGTTAACATCAACAAATAAAGGCCGGGTCATCATTTTGTGATGTCTTAATGACAGGTTCAAATTAATGAATGTAATAGTTTCAGAAATTATTTTGCTTATGGTTCGAAAATAATATTTACCTTTTAATTTATTTGAATTATCAATTACTGCCTACTGGGATTGTGTTATTTTTCGCAAGTAAAATTTCATTGGACATACTTATAAGAATAATAAAGCCTTAACAAGAGTTGTTATTCTATTTTTTTATTTCTTAAAAGATGCGTTAATAGTTTTATTAATTTAACTTAATTAAGTTTGGTGTTTGATCATATCAATGCGATGTTTTACACGAAATTACATTATAGATTGATTTTATCTTGATCAGACATGGCGGTGGTTTACAAAAACTCTGAGTAACAATAAATAGCATTTTAATTTCATTTATAGTGTTAATGATCCGAATCTAAAAGATGCTAAACTGTAAGTCTTTACAACTACGTTAATTAAAATAAAGAGCAGTGGATCCAAGTCCAGAATTAATTAAACCATTTCCTACCCCACAAATGACAAATAAAAAAGTTAAATATTCGTTACTAATACAGTGATGCGTTTAGGTACTGCAACTATGTTCACCCTTTTTTCTCGAGAGAAAGGATTGTGAGGAGATTATGGTATCGTTGGATGTTGAATTCACAAAATCTCTTATGAACGTTAGTAAATCGAAGGTTGACCTTTTTATGCTGAATACGTTTGTTTCAAGATTTCCCACTGGAAGGGGTAATTTTATTCAAATTATTAAAGTCCTTTTGAAGAGGACGGTTATGGTCTCTCTATTGACTTTCATGGTAATGAAACTAATTTATCACTGTACAAATTTATACCGGATAATCGACCTCAACATATTGATACCTCACATTTCTACCTACCAAATAGCCTCCGAATTGGCCATTTCAATGAAGTAGCTTTCAATATAGCTTATTACCATTCAAGTTAATTGAATACATTGCTGAAATAATTAAAATCTTCCTTACTATTCGTGGTTTCGTTGATCAATTTATTTGTGCCTCTCTGTGTATTGCATTTCCAACAATCAATACCTCACTTTCCTCTGGTCAAATAATTCATATCTCGAAAGGATTTGATATTCGCGATTACGCTGGTGTTGATGTTGTAAAAGTTCTTCAAAAGCATCTTGATAGAAGGGTATGGAACGAATTTCCTTAGAGTGATTTCTGCAGGCTTTGAATGTAAAATGTGTTGCCCTTATAAACGACGCAGTTTCAACCCTTCAGGCTTGCGCTCTTGATGAAGAAGGGTGTTATGCTTCTTTTGTTTTAAGTAAGTTCAGTTCTTTAATTTTTTAGTTCAACGTATTAAAAAAGTAAAAAAAACTGCAAGCATTAAAAGTAAAGTTTATATACTACGTTTAACAAGAAAATTAAAGGCTAAACATTCCTATTTGCGATTCCTCTTCCGTAGGACCCTCTTGATCCTAAAATTCTAGGGTTTTCGGGAAGCACCATAGATGAATACATATGCATGTCAGTTCGCTAGAAGTCAATCCAGAATTCTGACTGTTCAACTATTTCAAGATCAGCGATCTTAGGGAGTGTTATAATTGGTCATTACTTAAAGATTTAATCAAAAGTACGTTAGTGATGTTACTAATGATGCATATCGTAGCAGAACCTACTTGAGGGCCCTGAGGCCGCTTCATAATTATAAAAGGATTAACATTGATGGTTTTGCTTGCTTTCCATTTAATTTAAACACAGAGCCTTAATTAACAGGAAATCTTTCTGAGCCCAACATGGATTGTACCAAACTTCACTCTTTTTTGGCTTTTCAAAAAGCAAGATTTATTATTTATTTATATCAAATGGCAGGCGTTTTGATAGTTATCATTAACCCTTTAGTTGACTTCTGGCTTCACAGAGGGGAAGGAACATCAAAGTGAAAAAAAGTCGAGAGGGGGGGGGGATAGAAGAGTGTTTCAAAGACGAGGGTAGAAAAGGTAGAAAAAGGGCAAGGTGAGTACTGTGAAAGAAGTCAAATATGACATATAGTGGGGTCATGGTAGCTTGAAGTCATACCTTTCTGCCGTATGAGTATACGTTGCCCAGGGTGCACCACGTGGAGGTAAGTCTATCGCACACCCCGCAAGATTTATTATAAAAATATTGCGACACGAATTCACTTAGTTAGTAGCTTCTACTCACATTTTTTAGTAGTGTCGAAAAAGCCCATTTATTTAGTGTCTATTCGCGAACTGATCTTTGGGATTTCATAACGTAGTAGTAGTATAAAGCGTAAAACTGTATTGAGAACTACTACGTGTAGCATTACGGATCAATAATAGCGTGAGAATTAATATTTTTTCAATATATACTTTATGACTATTCTGACATTATTATTGTTAATAGCTAAACAAACCAATAGAATCTGTTTTCCTAAGAAGACACTTATTTATCAAAAGACCAAAAAACCAACAAAGGGAAAACCAGAACAAATAGTTTTCTCATTTTGAAATTCTGATTTCTAAAAAGCATCGCCTTCTAATCAATAAATAGTTCAATACTCATTCGTTAAGATTTGTTTCCTGCATCCTTAAATGCGTTCATGATCAAATGTTCGGAGATGGTTGCATTGAGTGATCGATCATATTATATAGATATTAAGCCATGTCGTCATAAAGTAAAGAGCTGCTAGTTTAGTTTCGCATCGTTTCGATTGTTAGACAAATGACTGAATTTTATGCTTATAGCAACAAGGAACATTTAAAATGACATTTAAAAGTGGGTAGAGTAAAACGTTATTAATTCAGTGGAAATATGCTCTTGATCTGTTGTGATCTTTTGTTAGCTATTTAGAGTACACTGTTTATGTTAAATGCGATAAGTTAGAAGTCACTAATTAACGTTATTAGAATGTTGAGCTAGGTTCTTATCTCCTGAGCCTAGAAGGTCCGTCTTCGTAACTTCAGCTAATTGAGAGAGCCTTATTGCAAACTGAACAGACACGTATATTCAATTTCTCCCAAATTTAACGATTGTCACATAACTTTTCCGTGGACCACAACAGTTAATGATACATTGGATTCTTCGACTCTCAAGGTGTTAGCTCTTCGGTTGAAAATTGTAATGCGTAAATCCAAGGTGTATAATTTTTCATATGTTTATACCTGTTTTGCATTTAATCAAACAAAAAACAGTGTCCGTCGACATTAGAAAGATCAAAGTGATTACTTTCCTCTAGAATCACAAATGCAAGTTACATGATTTTGGAATTCGTACTATTTACAGATACAGGTAAATAAATCAAGAAGGCTTTAATTTTCATCTGAGGATCGAAGAAATAAACTACCCAATGCTTTATCAATGTCCTGTTGAATTTGAATCTTGGTAGAATAGTTTGAATAATAAGTTTTAACAGGGTTTTCACTTTTCCAGATGAAATTTTAAAATATTTATTTATTTCAAATGGCAGGAGTTTTGATAGTCGTCATTAGCCCTTTAGTTGACTTCGGATTTCACAGAGAGGAGGAACTTCAAAGTGGCAAAATGTCGAGAGGGGGACAGAATAATGATTCACGGATGTGAAAGAGACAGACAGACATAAGGCAGGGAGAAAAGGTGAGGTGAGTACTGTGGAAGTAGTCGAATATGACATACAACCGGGTCATGGCAGTTTGAAGCGAGAAGTCAACTGCCAGTTAAGAGACTTTTTTGCCCTATGAGTATACGTTGCCCAAGGAGCACCACGTGGAGGTAAGTCTATCGCACACCTCCGTGAGGTAATATAATCTCTACTATATATAAATATGGAATATAGCGAAATTTTTGCTTCTCCATTTTTTTTCATCAGTCACCCGGAATTTTAACTTATATGAAAGAGTATATAGACAACAATCAAACTAATACGCGTGTCAACTTTCTACTTGAATTTCTTTGTTTTCTGTTGAGAAGACCCATTAAACCTCATCCGTTACCATTAGAGAAGACTGGTCTTGCTATTTAGTAAAGCGCCGATTGGACATTGGGCTTATTAAGAACTAAGCTCAAAAGACCCAGTTAACAAATCCCTTGAATAGGTTTCACTTTAGAATACAACATTCTAAACCTTTTCTTGGATAGCAGAAAGGAAACGCTTAAAAGCAGAGTAAACCACTTATACTCAGATTGCCTTTTCCAATATCAATCTACTAAGATTCCTTTGAGAAGTGGCATTATTTGACTGATTATAGTAGTCTCAATTCATATTCTTTTCATTGAATAAGGTTGATTGTTTGGTATTAAGGTTTAGAGATGATAAAAAATAGGATATTTTGCCAATTACGGTCTCCAAATTGGTTTTAGTAAAGAAGCATATAGGATTTGTGGGCATTGTCGAATTTTAATCGAACTAAATAATGGGGTAATAACTGGAAAATTTGTTTCCAAATAAAATATTAAATGTTGCAATCCAGTAAATCTGAAATAATCAATTCTCTGGAGGACAAAAATATTTCGGCATGGTATTCTAGCACAAGTAAAACACGAATTCTTAGGTGTGGGAAAGCCCGAATGTAAAGGCATTTGTTATCTTTACCTGGACATTTTACCGATCATTGAAGCTAATCACCAAATTATGGAATCTGGGGGAAAAATTGTAATGGTAGAATCAAGTTCTTCAACAATATTGCAGTATGAGAAGTTGTCTACCTTTTTTTTATAATGAAAACATTTCAGATGTCCCCAGATTTTTACTATCTATATTAATTCTTACTAGTCTAGGATTTCTAATACATTGAAATCTCTAGGTCTTTCGAGGCATATTCTTAAACATAAATTTTGCCGGTTACTTCCAAATGAAGCGATATCAATATGAATGCTAAGTACGTTGCATGCATTCATATACGCAATTGCTTCAAAGTGGATAGGGAGCAAAACTGATGTCAAATTATTCCAAGCAAAATTTTGCTTTAGATGACCCAACTCTGGACATAATGCCACTTAGAGCCAACTTTAATATACGCCACAATGAATGCTACCTCATCTTTTACCAGTAAGCTAATTCCTCACAGGTTACAGGTACTTTAGTAGAATTGTTGTTTTGTAATGAACACACCGGTTATAGCGCCAATTCGAGGAAAGACATCTGTCACCATCGTTTGTTTCATTTTATCTTAATGAACAAGGGGCATGCGATAGACTTACGTCCACGTGGTGTACCCTGGACAGCGTAAACTTATTCGGTAAAAGGGTCTGTAAATCGCCAGTTGACTTCTGACTTCAAACTACAATGACCCCATTGTTTTGTCATATTCGACCACTTCCCAGTACTCACCTCACCTTACATTTTTCTCTACACTTGTGTCTGTCTCCCTTTTACATCTATGAAACACTCTTCTGTTCCTCCTCTCCACTTTTTGTGACTTTATTGTTCCTCCCCTCTATGTAGTCCAAATTCAGCTAATAGGCTAATGATGACTATCAAAATGCCTGCCATTTGAAATAAATTAATAAATAAATCTTAATGAACAAATGAATATTAAGAAAGAAATAAACAAAAAGTATCCAATTTAAAAAAATTTCAATAATTTTATCAGTTACTTACGTAAATAGTGCGTTCTCTAAAATGTGCAAAATTACAGGTTGCCACATTGTAGTACTTTGAGTATTTTTATTGAGTTATGAAATTGTGGGCTATTTATAAGAGGGAACAAATAAGGCCAAATAAGTGTAAAGCAATATCAATCCATTTTCTTTGTCATTAGTTAAAATACTTTTAAAAAAACAAAAAATGTAAAGATAACATGGGAATATTTAAGAGGATATTCGAAGAACTGCTGAGAAATATTTTCCTTCATGTCATTTTAGAAATTTAATTTAATGTGCAAGGATTTCGATACTGTATGAAATTCGGAAATCTTCTGTTCGAATACTAAAGTGTTGATAGGTCGATACAGAAGCAGATATTCAAATCATCAAAATTATCGTAGAAGATAATCAAACACGACTCTAGACCATGTGTTTACAATGGAGATTCAAGGAGTTTGAGAAACTGTACATGAAGCAAGCGGTTTTAAAGGAAGTTTACTCTGACCTAAAGCATTACAAATTAAATCAGAAAAGGGGGCAAATAATTTTGAATCCATAAAGGAGTCATTAAAAAATTTATACAAGTTATTGTTGAATATTTATTTATATCTAATGGCAAGCGTTTTGATAGTCATCATTAGCCCTTTAGTT